GAATAAAAACACTTTTGCCGACTAAATATTTAGTAGCAAAAAATGTGGGACTTTAGGCGACCAAATATTTAGTAGCCAAAACAAGACCTCTTTGCCAACTAAGATTTTAGTAGCTAAAAATGTGGGACTTTAAGCGACCAAATATTTAGTAGCCAAAACAAGATCTCTTTGCCGACTAAAAGTTTAGTAGCCAAACATGTAGGACTTTAGGCGACAAAATTTTTAGTAGCCAAAACAAGAACTCTTTGCCGACTAAAATTTTAGTAGATAAAAATGTGGACTTTAGGCGACTAAAAGTTTGGTCTCCGAAAATGTACTAATTTAATTTAATGTCCAACCTTTTGGCGACTAAAAATTTAATCGAAAATTGAATACATAGTCGCTAATGACCTTTATCGTCAATTCTTCGACGACTACTTCTGCGACCAAATAATTTAGTCGCTGAAACCCTTTGGCGACTAAAAATTTAGTCGCCAAAAGTGAAAATTCTTGTAGTGATGGTTTGGTTGGCGTTTTGTTAGTTTTTTTTTTTTTTTTTTTTTTCCCTTGTAATCTTTTGAGGATGGAAATTTACTTAAACCCTTTAGAGACGTGAATGTTTAGATTTTGTTTCACCCCTAGGATTTGGATGATGGAATACTGATTGGGGTTTAATCCTAATTTAATATTTAATTGTCCAAATTTTGGGACGTGACATCCTTAATGTGTTTAAGGCATAGGAGTCAATCACAAAGTCTGATCATTTTTGTGTTTATTTAAAATTAGTTGAAGCTTGTTGATCAATCACTGTTGATTGGGCCTAAACTGAATTTTGCTAACATAAATTGGCAAGACTAGTGGGACCATTCTAACTTGGAGTGATGATGATGATGATGAAAAAGAAGCAAACTTATTCTTATGAAATCATGTCTTCAACAGGTTTGCTACATCTTGTGCACCCAAGGATACAAACCGCCAATGGAGTGACAGTGTTTCCATAGAAACAAATTATCAGTGGAATGCCTCATATTCTGAAAATTGGTGGTTCTACCACTTATTATCAACATAATGGCATGACAAATGATGTGAAAAGAATGATTTGGCGTTATGCAGATGAAATTTATTGGTGTGATAGTGAAATTTTAGCCTTAAAAAAAGAAATTAATTCTCCTTATAGGCAAAGATTTCAAATAATTTCATCATCTCCGTATTATTTGACGCCAATAGATTTAAATTATTGTGATGGAAAAATTCATCGACTTAAAGGCCAAAATTTTCTAATTGATGAAGAAATTCTATATTGGAAGCAAAAATTGGAAGGTATAATGGCCAATAAAAAATTAAGATATAAAATACGGTTAATACACATTTTTTAAGAACCAAATATTCATAAAGAACCAAGGTATGTGGCTCAAAGGGTTAGCACACCAAGTCATGAAGAAAATATGACTTTAGAGAATTTTTATAGGTCATTAATGGTTAGAATTAAAAAACAACCCCTTCTCTCAAAAAAAAATTGAGAATTCTGATAATAAATGTTCACTTGGGGGGGCATGATGTTTTGCCAAACGTGGCAAAAAGTGACAAGCCATTAATGGCTAAAAAAGAATAACAACATTTTCTCTCAACAAATGTTAAAAAATATCACAAAATGATGGTAAAAATTCACTTGAGGGGCATGATTTTAAGTCAAAGATGGCTGAAAATTATAAACTTGGGGGGCATGATTTTAAGCCAAAGATGACTAAAAATTATGAACCCACGTTTATTAAATGTGAATTTTTTTGTATTGTTCAAAATGTTTAAATTTATGAATTTTTCATAACATTCAATTATGTGAGTTTTGGGATCCAACATCCACTTTGGATTTCTGGATCACACTAAAAATTAATTTTCATAACATGGTTTGAAAAACAACAATGGTTGAAAAATGCTGTATGTAGTGAATTCTCTTTAATTAGCCAAAATGTGGCTAACAGAGAATTGTGTTATTTTAAAAATAAGGGATGTGACTTTTTGTTATGTCACTCAACAAAACCAAAGATGGAGTGTTCGCCAATCGACACTGATATATTAAAAATTACTATGGGTGTAATTTAATTCTTCAAGAATTTGAATTATTTGCACTATAAAATATTTTATGTCGATTGTGGTAAACCGTTTTATAAATCATTTAATTGAATTTCATTCTTCAATCCATTTAAATAAGGGGACATTGTTTGCACCACATTTTATTTTTCTGTCAATTGTGGCTTATTAATTATGGCCAAGTTCGATTATGGTCTGTCGATTGAAATCACAAACTATTTTCAAATAATAACCTTGACCACATTTGTTTTCATTATTATTATTTTTGTCAACAGGCATGCTAACATGGCATAACAGATGTGTTAAGGACATAGTATGATGACATATTAAATGAAAGGTCAGAAAGTTAGCAATTGTAACAATTTGAAAGTTAGTTGCTGAGATTAATGAGCTAATATCAAATTAAGTACCAAATTTGCAAAATGATTCCTATCAACACATGCGATATGAATAATGTTAAGAAAATCATAAGCTTGTTGAGAAAATCATAGGCTTAGGTTGTCTCTTTCTCTCATGTTGCTGAGCCTATAAATAGGCTAAAAGAGATGCAAAGAATAATCAATCAATAATATCAACAACCACCAATCACACTCTTGAAGAATTATTTAAGAGTAGTTCTAAATTAGTCATTTTAGAAATAGATTAAATTAGTAATTTTTCTAAACCCTACTTCTCTTTTTTCTGTTGATTGTTGTATTTATTCAATTTTTTATTCATGTTTAAGTTCTTGTAACTAGTGACAAGTGACAATTTATTCAAACTAATACATATTTTGTTCTGTTCCAATCCTTCTTTACTTAATTACTTCCAGGAAAGTTTTTAATCTATTTAAGGTATAGAACTCAACTAATAAGTCAGATAATTTTTGTGTTTATTTAAAATCAGTTGAAGCTTGTCGATCAATCACTGTCGATTGAGTCTAAACCGAATTTTTGATAACAGATGCGTAACAGTGTGTTTTGAATTGAGTGTTGTGATATCTGAATTTTTAAACACCTCTTTTTTGTGTACATTTACATAATTGGGTAAGCCTTACTTTGTAAAATGTTGTCATATATTCGCATGGATTTCTATTCTATGCTTTTTTTTTCTTTTTTCTTTTTTGGGTTAGTTATCCGTGGGTTTAGCAGGCTTGCAAAGGTGAGTGTGAATAATTAAGCGTGGTGCGCTTTGTGCATTATGGGTCATTTGCACAATCTAGGCTTAGTTCACACTATTGGGCCAATGAATTTCATTTAACCCAAACTAATTAATAAGAGGACGTTTTCATAAATAAACTGTAGAAACTTTTGTTCCTCTTCCAATGTGGGGCAACAACGCAAGGCAAAAGTTTTATATGCTATTTGTCTCAACAACTGGAATATACAATTGATTTTTTTTTTTTTTTTGGGTACTTCGGAAAGGAAGAATATACAATTGATGAATCATTGAAATTTTCATATGTTTGTTATTTATTTGTATTTCGTCTCAAAGTAGTCGTTTGTTTTGATTGGATTCAAATTGGTTACGAATACTTTTAGGCACGAGCGATTCTTTAATATAAATTAAGACATGGCACGGATCCTTAGAGATATATGTCTTACAAAAACTTTTAGACAATTGAGATTATTTCTCAATCTGTGTTCTAACGGCCTAAAAATGTATATGTGATACAAGTGATATGAATAGTAAGACGATATGAATAGTTAAGACTCTTTTATATCTCTCTACAATACTTAAACCCATCAAATAAATTTTATCTCCAAAGCAAATAGAGAATTGAAAAGCAACTAACATAACAAACTCTAGAAATAGAGAATCAAAAACTATTAAAAAAATAAAATCAAATAACAATTATATATATTGAGGCATTTCCCCGTACCTAATTCAAACAAAGAAATAGAGAGATTAATGGTGTTCTTTAAGAGCTAGGAATCAATCTTCAAAATCAATGAAATCATCAGCACTTGTTGAAAAACTAAGCCCCCACTCAAGTCCTTGTCTCACCATTGAAATCGCACAAGAAGGATGTAGTTCAAAATTTGAGAGCCATTGGACACAACACAAATCTCAACCTCATGTTTTTGACCGTTGAATTAAAAATTGAAATCATCTTATCTATTTTGATATTTCTTAGATAGAGATATTTTTGGACCGTTGGATTAGGAGGAAAAACAATCCTAACCATACATCAAATGTACACATATGACATCTATCCCATCAAGTTTCAAAAACTACCTTTCCCTAGAAGTAATGTTAGAAATACAGAAACTGAAACTTTAGTCCTTGGGAGAGAATTGTATTTAATTTTACATTTAATTTCTATGCACATCGTATTTAATTTTTATCTACATAAATTTACTAACAAATGTCATAAAACTCTATATTAGATGTTTCTATTTGCTCTAGGAATGGACCCCCACCACCCCCACACACACGTGGCGGGTGGTGATTGGAGGAGGAGAAAAAAAAGAAAAAGAAAAAGAAAAAGTGACCAATCAAAAAAGAAAGAGGGTCAAAAAAATGTGAGGGAAAGGGAGTCCCAATCTTTGTTCTTATATAAATTTCTAATAACTCCATTGATTGAACTAATCCTGACTTACCATGGTGGCATGAACAAATGTACCATATAGAATTCAAAAAGAGTCTTTCATTGATATATAGATTTAACTATCAAATTGTTCATCTAGACACAAAATATCAAAAATAAAAATGACACATTGGTGGTGTTTGGCAAGAAAAATTTTAGCATTTTTTAGGTCAAAATTCACAAAAAAACAAAATAGATTAAAATAGTTAATAAGGCAAAATGTCACATCAAACCCATAATTATTTCACTTTTTCTCTCACAAACATCACATTCAATTACAAAAAAAATCAATCATCTGCCAAAACACAAAAAATTTAACCTACTAAAATAGCTAAAAACTAAAATAACTTACTAAAATAACAGCTTCTCAAACACCCACATTGTCTTTTTATTATTTATTTATTGGTTATCCAAATATAATAAAAATAAATCACAATTATTTCATCCCTTTTACATGTTCCAATACCGGAATTTAAAACCATATTTTCAACTTAAAACTCAACCTTCATGAACGCATCTACTGTTTTTGGAGAGATACTCAACAAAATTGTGCATGTACCGATCATGCAGGACCTTGTCACCAAATAGGGCACTCATTTCTCTGGCTTTCTTCCTATAAATTAATCCCTCGTTTTTGTCTACCACAACCAATCTGATTGAGTCGGCCACTGAGTTCCTTGTGAAGGACCCATCTTCTTCATCTCTGGGTATCTCAATCCCAACCTTCTTCTCATGGAGTACCCTTGCATTTAAACCTTGGTCTAGCATGAACGGCAACATAATAAGTGGTTTCCCAAACTGGAGTCCCTCTATCACGGAACTCCATCCACAGTGAGTCAAGAAACCTCCCACTGATTCATGACTCAATATCTTCAGTTGAGGCGCCCAACTCTTCCACACTACCCCTCGACTTCTGGTTCGCTCCTCGAACCCATCGGGCAGCTCCACAGATTCGGACTTGTTCGAACCAGGCGGCTTCCTTAATGCCCAGAAAAAGGGCACACCAGAGAGCTCCAACCCAAAAGCCAACTCGGTGACTTCTTCTTGACTCGGCATGGCTTCGCTCCCCAATGCTACGTAAACCACAGAACCATTGTTTTGGTTGTTGAGTCGCTCACTGATTGAAAGCCACATCTCGTTGGCACCGCTGTCTTCAACCACCGCCGGTGGCATTAAACCGAGTGGAATTACAGGTTTGGGTTGAAGATCTTGGAGGAGAGTCAACCATTGGGGCTCAAACTCTCGGCAGTGTCGTATGGCGTAGACGTCGCACCCCAACACCGCCGATCCAAATCGATACAAGTCGGAAACCCCAGAAGCATTATTTGTTGCACCGGATAGGATTCGCTTTATCTCATAGAGGCGAAAGGCTACGTTGGTTGGAAATTGGACCCACTTAGGTGGGACAGTGAGCTGCTCCGGCTCCATCGGGGTATCATCGGAACTGTCGATCAAAGCCGACGCAGGACCAAAGAAAGCTGCAAACCAGGCGTTGATGATGAGGAAGAAGGCCCGAGAAATGCCGAGTTTGGTGGCGATTGGGGGCAACCAGTGAGGAGCAAAGTCGTAAATGATCCAATCAGGTGAGGAAGCTTGAAGGAAGCCAGCCAATCCAGTCTCGAGTCCGTCGAAGGCTTTCTTCAGGTAAGGAATATGGTCGGAGGGAACGTCCATGGTGGCCTCTGCGTTTTCGGGGAGGTGGTCGTCGACGCGGGGCAACGGGAGCTCAACAAAATGTATGAAAGGAGATAAATTAGGAGGCAGCTTTGGCAAGCGTTGGATGTTTCTGGGTGTGGATACAAAGGAAATCTTGTGACCCTTTTGGGCAATGAATTTGGCGAGGTATAAGTATGGGATCATATGACCAAAGGCTAGCCATGGGAACATAACTATGTGGAGCTTCCGCTCGCGACCGGCCATTGGTGAGGGAGGCACAACAACAAACTCCATAATTAAGGCGGCTCTGTGATCTGCTCTACAAAGAAGAGCACTACTACCATTCCATACATAGATGTTTTTTTTGACTTCTTTTTAACTTGTGTTGAATTTAGTTGTTGAGGATAATTTAAATAAAGGGTTGTTTTAGGTGTTTTAAATAAGTGTATTTTTTATTTTTTTGGATTAAAAAATTAAGGAAGAAAATATAGATATTTGGGTTAATTTTTTGACTTTTTATGAAAAAATATGTAATAAAAAATTGTAAAAATTAGTTTGTAAAAGAAAATTAGAATTAGGAGTTGTGCAGCCGTAATTGTTGATTTTTGGTGAATAATGTTAAATTTTTAACTTTTTAAATAATTTTTTGACTTTTTAACTTTTCCTAGACATGTCAAACTTGACCTAAGTGTATTTTTAAATTTTTTTATATTTTACTAAAAAAGTATTAAAAAAATTGTAGAATTGGAATAATTTTTAATTTTTTATCAAAAAAAATATGTTATAAAATATTATAATAAATAGTCAAATTATATTTTTACCCTTGAAGGACGTCCGACACGACAGCATCGCCAGCCAACGTTATAAAATATTGTAATAAATAAATTTTTTTTTTTTTTTTAAGACATTTGAAGCTTTTAGACATTTCGAACTACAAATTTTTGCGTGGGTGAGGGAGTGCCACATCTGTATAGATAGTTTTGGCTTTTGTTATTGACCTAACAAAGAACATAATTGCGGCAACACAATCGTACAATTATTGGACTGTAATATTTAAAATAATAAAATATTAAAAAAAAAAAAAAAAACTACAATTTTTTTTTGAAAAAATGAGTGATGTGCTGTTGTTAGTCAATAAATGTACATTTTTTTGAATTTCACTGTGGCTAATTATTTTTTTGATAAAAAATGGTAATTTAGCCTTTGCATACATCCCTTGCAATTTTATATGTTTTCAAAAGTTCATAATTTTTTGGTCAAAATATTTTTTTTTTTTTTTTTTTTTTTTTCAGCCAACCACGCGCTGCCACGTCACTGGGGGTGCCACTGGGGGTCAGAAGCAATGCCCTTGAAAAAAATACACTAAGTAGTTTTTTAATATTTTTATGTGTGTTACATTGTGGTGTTACGTTTAATATTATATTGATTGGAGTATTACGTTTGAGAAATGTACACTAAAGAGTTTTTTTGTGTGTCATATTAGAGTGTTACATTTGAAAAAAATTTAAAGTGTTACGTTGTTACGTTTGGAAAAAAATATACTAAAGAACTTTTTAATGCGTTACATTGAAGTGTTACTTCCAAACCGCACCGACCCGCACCGCTATTAAATCATGTTTTATAAGATTCTAAAAATTCTTTTTTACTTAAGTTTGCTTGTTGTTCTATACCTTAGAATATAGTATTACATTACTGCTCGAGGGGAATTCAAGATGTCAGTAATCCAAAATAAAGTTAGATTCCAATTCACTTTTCAATATTTTTTTTTTTTTCTGGCAATGTTGCAAACTTGCATCAGCTCACTTTTCAATCTAAATACTTTTCAACAGTAAACATTTTCAATATATTGTAAACCCTGGATGATATTAATTTTATGTATTGTATTTGATCATTGTAGCTTCCACAGATACTTGTAATGAATTGATGGCATAGTCGTTGATATTATCATGTTGTTGCTACACTTGCTACATCAGAAGAAAGCTTCGCAAGATTCTTAACATCACGATATCTCTCTTGTTTTTTTTACTCTTTGATTTAAGTTTTGTAATTTGAATTATATTTTTTATAAACTGCCAATCCGCCCGAACTGCCAAGGCAAATCCGCCATTATTTGCCAATCGAACCGTCGATTTTTGATAAGAAAAATGGCAAATTCTAGTGACACTTTTATCAATCCGCCACCCGCCATACGATTTCTAGTTTTCTATCAAACCGCACCGACCCGCACCGCGCACACCCCTAGCGTAGCTATCACATGAAATATACTCATACTTCATATTTTTTATATTAATTTTTGGTAATACGTGTCACAATAATATGGTAAGTTTGTAAATTATTTTAATAATATTACTAATGGCAATGAAACAAATTTCCCAAAATTACAAGATAAAAATTAGAATTTTAATTTCAAAAGTCTTTTTTAAATTCTTTTTAATAAATCTTAATTTTTACAAAATACAATTACAATATTAAAAAAACTCACATGTTTACTAATGTATCATAATATTATTGGTCTAATTTATTTGAAATACACATGTGAAGATTAGTATACTCTCTATGTTAGGCAAATTATTTATATTTTTTATTATTTTTGGTTGTTTATAATTTTCTAAAACAAATTATACCCTTCTAAGCTATGATGATGTAATATAATTTTGGATTAATTACCTAAAAGTCCTATCTACATATTTGGTGGTAGCTTAGGTCCTGTCAAAAAGTTTTTGAACTAACAAGTCTCTTTTACAGGTAAAAAGACGTTTTGCCCTTTTAATGCCAAAATTGAGAATGTTCTCAATTTCAAAACTGAGAATGTTCTCAATTTATAATTATCAAAACTAAAAAATTTCTCAATTTTTTTTTTCTAGTATGAACTAAGAATATTATCAAAACTATCAAAACTAAGAAATTTATAATTATCAATTTTGAGGAATTTCTCAATTTTTTTCATGATTAAAATTGAGAATATTAGAAACTGAGAAGGTTCTCAATTTCAAAAACCCTAAATCTCTCTCTCTTTCTCTCTTTCTAATGGCAGTGGCATCTGTGAACTCGATGAAAACCGAGATCTCACGATCAATGGACTCATCGGAAGACTCCAGGAGCACGTTGATCTCAAAGGAGGATTCCTTCCAACTTGATTCCACGGAATTAGAGTGAAAAGCCAGCGGGAAGCCTGCAAGTCCTTCTAAGCTCCAGCTGCCTAAAACCTTGCTCCACACCCATACGTAGAAAAAGCCATAAATAAGTCTGACCAATGGCTTTAGAAAAAGGAAAATGAAAACAAACCAAAGTCGACTGACCCGGCGGGTTTGGCGGTGCCGATGGAGCGATGGGTTTCTTCCACAGCTTCGCTAGAATCTTACGAACTGAATGGAGAGTAGAATGAAAAGAGAACGAAAGGGAGAAGGAAGATTGTAACAACCCTCATGCTACTTACCGACTAATGATTGATTAACCGCTAATTACTGTTAACCGAGACTGATTATGACTGATAATCGAACTGAATAAACTACGGAACTGACTGACTGAAAACTGGAACTGAATTGACTGAGTATGTACGTTTGAATTGCATTTTATCTGTTGACTGTATGTTTGATCTGTTCATGACTTGTGTTTAAACTGCTCATTGAAGGCCTTATCGGCGGCCGAATTAGAAACCGATTGGTGTTTTATGATCGTCGTAATTAATGTGACTTTATAGTGTTTTTATTCGAAAATCGATTAGGTATGATTAAATTAGATTAAATATTGATAAAATACAGAGTTGCCTTAATTACAACCTTGCCCTTGAGTGGGCCACTACCTATACACTTTTGAGTTCATTACACTTGAGCCAAAAACGTTTACCTCAGCCTTCTTCCTTGCCTTGCCGACTAGAGAGAGACTAGAGGAGAGAATTGAGTTCATTTTGTTGAATTGGCTTGAATTGCTTGGTGTATTGCTTGCTAAGTGGAGTGTGGATTGCTAGATTGAACCCCTAGACTTGCATTCAAGGAACTTAGGTATGAATTTCACCTTCTCATTCTTGTGTTTGAACTAATTCTTGCATGGTCCATGTTAAATTGTAGAGCTAAGTCATGTTTTAGTTCATACATGTTGATATAGAGCATAATTCATGCTTGCATGTGTTCTTGGTTGAATTTGGAGTTGAGTTCATGGCAAAATGGTGCATGCATGTCCATAATTTTGTAATGGTCCATGTTTTCAACTTATGCTAATGGATGTACCACATATGATTGAATAACTGTTCTGACTGAAATACTGATTTAATGGACTGTTTTCATTACTGTAAGGACATTTCATTCATAACCCCTTTACGCATTATGTTATTCACTGGGCTTTAGCTCACTGTTTATATATATATGTAGGTGCTCAGCCGCCAGATCGGAGCTAGGAGCGTGGGTTAGACTCCAGTTTTGTCAAGCCAGCCTTTGTGGCTCACTGAGAGGTTCCGAGTTGCCATGTTATGGCTTTGGGGTGTCTTGTTTTTCCCCCGTCTGTCTCTATACTGTTTGGATTACTGTATAAACTGTTAACTGCTAACCGTACTGTTATCGAAGGATTAGGTCCCTGTACTGTGTGACTGTAAATTTTGTATAGACTGTACTGTTTGTATATGTGAATGCATGAAAAATTTTTTTGGCATACAGACTGACACAGCTCCACGGACACTATTCATTTACTGCATTGGCTTCCGCCAGGCCCTGTACTCTGTTTTACTATTCTACTGTTCTGCAGGCCTTCGGTAATCTCGGATTACTGGCCGGTTACGGTGCTAAACCCATAGGGCCGGGTTTGGGTCGTGACAAAGATGACATCGAGACAGCTTGCTTGGAGTTTGTTGGAATGGTAGATTGGTCTATTAAAAATTAATGGGACTTGAAGGAGCAAATAATTTTACCTAGGACTTAATGGATTATAAGTTCACAAAATGGGACTTGTATGTAAATGGCCCAATAATTTTTTTCAGGAACATACAGAAATACGTTGAAAATGAATACTTTTTTTTAGCGTATGTGCGGGATAGTGGATTCTATTAAACAAATTAATAAATTCGGATTTTACGTTATCTTCACTTATTCGTATTTATGTTCATTTTTTTAATTTTTTATGTGAGACCCAGAAAAATCCTCTTATATGGATTGTCGAAGAGATCCAACGAAAAGAAGAGCTTCACCCCTGTAGATCTGCAATGATGAGCATAGTCGGTGCCACCCAACCGAGATTGCCGGCCAGGGACACTCCGATGATGAAGTTAGTTATTGAAACAAGGAAATAAATAGTATATATTTGAAGGGGTGTGTGTTCTGTAAAGAGAGATGAGACATACCTTACACTTGGGATGCCCTCCCCCTTTATATAGATAGGGGGTGTGATATTTGTTTGTGCTGGACCCATTGTAGGCTTTGTTTGGGTTAGGCCCAATAAGCTAGAGAACCTATATTTTTCTAGCTCCCACAATTGCCCCAAAACTTTC